TCCAGACGATCTCCTAGAAGAGCTAGCAGAATGTTTTGGTTCGGAGGACAAATGCAGTGAACCAATTTATGAGAAATTGGCGAAAGTCGCGAATGAAGGCATGCAGACAAAATTAAACAATGACAAAATTAAGGAGATCGGTGAAAAGTATAGCAGACCGAAAAATGTCGCAAATCTTATCACACCTAAAGTAAACAGCGAAATCTGGGCACATCTTAATAGGAAAGTCAGAACACAGGATGTCCGACTTCAAAAAACACAGGCACTGGTGTGCAAAGCTATTGTGCCACAGCTCCAACAGCTGGATATACTTCTTAAGTCAAAAAAGAAGGGGGGTGAAACAGCTCCGATTGGCGAGGTTACGAAACTAGCGATGGACAGCCTCAAATTAATGACTTTTGTATATTGTGACCTTTCATATCGGCGCAGAGAACTGATCGTTCAGCCGGACAAAAATGAGGAGTTTAAGGCTTTGTGCTCCAATGACCATCCAGTGACTGACAACTTGTTCGGAGACGACCTTGGGAAAGTTGTTGAAGATATTGTTAAAGGCAATAAAGTAGGGTCGAAGATATCCGGAATGTTTCCTAAGGATAGAAAACCTTATAGCAGGAAACCTTTTGGCCATGGATACAAGTCAAATTACACTCAGTACGGAGGATCGGGAAAACAGTCCCATTTTTTAGGCCACAGATCCACTCCTTATTTCCGGAAGAAGGCCCCGAGCACTCAATACAAACAGCGGAAATGAAAACTACAAAAGAAGTGAGTAAATTTGATATGAATTTCATGAACACAAATGATAATTTCCAAGCAGGGAAAATATCCCAGTGTATTGAAGCTTGGACAGAAATAACTTCTGATGCTACAGTACTATCAACTGTTCAAGGGTATTCCATAGAATTTGATGAATTTCTCTATCAAATGTGTTCACCAAAACCAATTCAATTTAACAATGAAGAAATGATTTTGGTAGATCAAGAAATCACACAATTATTGCATAAGAAAATTATCGAAGAAGTGATAGATTCGGAGGAAAATGAATTCTTATCAAACATTTTTATCAGACCAAAGAAAAATGGGAAATATCGAGTAATTCTCAATCTTAAAAATCTGAATAATTGTGTAGAATACCATCATTTCAAAATGGAGACTTTAAAAGCCGCAATAAATTTAGTGACCAAAGATTGTTTCATGGCCTCAATAGATCTACAAGATGCGTATTATTCCTGTAAAATCAATGCTAATGACAGAAAATATTTACGATTTCTGTGGAACGGACAAAAATATCAGTATACATGTTTGGCAATGGGATTAGTGTCAGCGCCCAGAATATTTACCAAACTAATGAAACCTGCATTTTCAACTCTACGGAAACAAGGCTTTTCAAATGTTGCATACATAGATGACACATTACTTATCAGTGATTCTAAGACTGAATGTGTAAAAAATGTTAAAACCACTGTTACTTTGCTAGACAACCTCGGTTTAACAGTGAATATAGACAAGTCAGTCTTTATCCCTACACAGAAAATCGAGTTTTTGGGATTTATCATCAATTCAAAAACAATGACAGTTTCTTTAACGGACGATAAGGCAAAATCTATACAAGACACTTGTAAGAAAATCATTGCCTCGCAAAGTCTGACAATTAGGCAATTAGCGCAACTGATAGGAAAACTCGTGGCAAGTGAGCAAGGAGTTCAATTCGCGCCTCTGTATTACAAGTCATTAGAAATAGAGAAAGATAGACTTCTAAAACAAAACGTTGGGAACTACGAAGCTCGTATTTCACTCTCGCCAGATGCCCTAATTACCCTACAATGGTGGATTAATAATGTGAATAATTATCCTCGGAAAATAATACGTGATAACCCCCTCGTTACGATAAAAACTGACAGCTCGGGGAATGGCTGGGGCGCTATCAATGAAAACAGCGGGGAGTGTATTCAGGGGGTATGGGATGACCACGATAAGGAATCTCATATAAATTTCCTGCATGGAACTGAAAGCAGCTTTTCTCGCTTTGACACGCATGTGCAAATACTTGAAAGACTGTCATGTAAAACTTTATTTAGATAACACCGTCGCTGTTACGTATATCAATAAAATGGGAGGAAAAATTGAAACCCTAAATGAATTAACAAAACAATTTTGGGAATTTTGTATAAAGGAAACATTTGGGTAACGGCATGTCATATAGCAGGTGTAGAAAATGTAGAAGCTGATTACCTTTCACGAAACTTTAATCCTGATATGGAATGGATGCTTGATCCAGAGATTTTTGACGAGGTTATAGGATTATACGGGAATTGTGACATAGATTTATTTGCATCCCGATTCAATAGACAAATTTCTACATAAGTTTCATATGCCCCTGATAAACACGCAATAGCGATAGATGCTTTTACAATTTCATGGAGTGAATTGAAATGTTATATTTTCTGTCCTTTCTGTATTCTCAGCAGGGTACTTCAGAAAATAATGATAGAGAATGTGGAAGCAGTCATTGTAGCCGCAATATGGCCGACACAACCCTGGTTTCCAAATTTCTACAGCTGATAGCAGCGAGCAGCTATTTATTACCGAACAATCAGCAACTTCTGAAGCTACCGAACAATCCAAACAAAGTACATCCGATACCCAAGATGAGACTGGGTGTTTTTCGTGTGTCCGGAAATCGCTCCAGAACCGAGGCTTATCGGAGGACACTATCGACGTACTCCTCTCCTCGTGGAGGGAATCCACAAAGAAACAATATTGGACATATCACCAAAAATGGATGTTATTTTGTCAGCAAAGAAAAATTGATATTTTTGACGCAAATGTAAATAATGTTTTGGCGTTTTTAACAAAATTGTATAAAGCAGGTTTAGGTTACAGTGGATTGAATACTGCCAGAAGTGCATTATCTTCGTTTTTACAATTAACAAACTCTGTAAATATTGGTTCACATCATTTAGTTTGTAGATTTTTGAGAGGTGTTTTTATAATGAAACCTGCTTTACCTAAATATAGTGTTACATGGAATGTAGATATTGTGTTGGATTATTTGAAATCTCTAGAACCTTTAAAGGATTTGACCTTGTTACATGTATCTCACAAGTTATTAATGTTACTTGCGTTATTGTCAGGACAAAGTGGTCAAACATTGCATTTAATAGATATGAGAAATGTACATGTCGATGACAAATTTTTGAAAATTGTTATAGGTGATCTGTTGAAAACATCAAATCCTAAGTCACATATGGGCGAACTAAATTTCTCAAGCTATCCTCATGATGAAAGTTTATGTGTTGTTCGTGTTATGAAACACTACCTTCTAAGAACGAGTAACCTGAGAAATGATGTTACAAACTTATTCGTTACAACGCAGAAACCTCATCGCGCCAGGGACACCGTCGGCAGATGGATGAAATCTGTTATGTGTTCGGCTGGAATTGACATTAACATATTCAAACCCCATAGTACAAGGGCGGCGTCCAGCAGTGCAGCGCTGGTGCGCAAACTTCCAATGTCTACCATCTTGAAGACTGTTGGATGAAAAAGTGACTGTGTTTTTAGAAAATATTATAACAGACCTATCATTGTGGATGACAATTTTAGTCAGAGAATGCTTTCCAAATATGATCAAGTTTGAATGTCACATATATATTTGTCATGTATGCCAGTGTGTATTTCTTTTTTAATAGATTTGAAACAAAATTGACTTCTGCTTTATATTGATTATTACTAAAAGACAAGATAATATTTATTATATAACTAAATCATAGACATTATGAATTACGATTATTTATACGTGATACACAGCCAAAGTAGGCTTTGATAAGGATGCAAGTTTAGCTTTATATTTAATATATCATAACTTATAGAAAACTGAAAATTTGGATTTATCAACTCTAAAGTCTCATTTGAGACTGAGGCACCCCATTGGGAGAAGAAATTCTAAAGTTAAACGAGACTTACCTGGAAGGTGAAGTTTGACTGGAATTTCTTCGACCAATTGGGGGTGCAGAGGGATCAAATGCCCTCCCGTATACTTGCAGTATACACCCACCCGTAAAGTATAATTTGATAAATCCAAATAAATCTCTAAAAGTATGAATCACGTGGTAAGCTTATCATCTCATTTGATCCCTCTGCACCCCCAATTGGTCGAAGAAATTCCAGTCAAACTTCACCTTCCAGGTAAGTCTCGTTTAACTTTAGAATTAAACAGGCCTATTGCAAACATGATAAAAGTAAAATCAAGTTCAATTAAAACAAAGTCATATTTGGTCACTAAGTACATGTACATGTGTAGTATATAAAAACTAATTCACAACAATGCATTAGATATAATGAGGCAAATTAGTCATCACCGGAGGCTCACTATGTTCTTGCTTTACTTTTAATTTCAATGTCATTGCTACAGTTAACCAGCAATATTTAACACTATTGGGTGGATATCATGATATAAACAATGCACTTCACAAAGTTACTGCATATACAAACCTTAAACAACAGCTTGGCAGCATTCAGGAAGTGGCCTGCCTTACGATACAATTCTATGGCGCTGACTATTTTGTTTTTCTCCAGTAGGTGCGAGGCATACTTAGCCAACAGTGAGTCTATTTCACGGACATTGTGAGTCTTTGCCAGCTCTATAGCAGTGTTCCACTGGTTCAGATCCACACAGCTGTCTATTGCCTTCTTAATGTGGTTACACTGAAACAAACAGATTTCTAAGTCTTAAGAATGTGTTGATTAACTCCCTTTACTTGTGTTAAATGTAACAATCTATTAAAGACCTATACTCGTGTTACATGTAACAATATATTAAATACATAAAGACATGCATTCACTGTCAGAGTTAAAGTATAGCCTACAATTACGTTCAAGTTTTCCCCTCATAATACATTCTACTTCCATTAGTGAACTCTTCAAAATTAGAGGCGCGTCTGGTCGTCTGACTGGGACAGCATGGCGTGGCGGATAATACAAAACATGCCTATCTCGATCCAATTTTAAATGTTAAATGTATTTGTCATTCCAATTAAAGAATAGAAGAACTAAAAGACATATGTAAGAGAGCGAGAACCCTAAATTTATCATTCATTAATAAATGAAAGAAAAAGTGAGCAAGCTCACATACCCCACGCTCCCCCAAAACTCGACAATGCAACACGCAATGAATGGCACAGTGCATTTTAAATACACAGTATAATTCATGAATTTATTTATATACTGTACTTATGAAATTATGTAAGGCAAAGCACCAATTTGATTGGGGGGGGGGGGGGGGGGTTAACTATCCAAGATTTTGTGTGTGTGTTAAATCATTAATATTTTGATCTCAAAATCAATAGGGGTTTTTAAGGTCATAAATATTTCACATAAAGTTTCATTACAAAAGCTGATTCCAGTGGATTTCCTTATTGCCTAGTTGGAAAGTTTCTTCAATAATAGGCATTAAAACTCTTAAGGCAAAAATAATGGACTCGGAATTTCCTGGTAATATGCACATCTATACACTGTGTACTAAATATCTGCAAAGTTTGACTAAATTCTGTGCAGCAGTTTAAGAGGAGTTGCGCTGACAAACTGTTCATCTCCATATTCAAGATATGGCCAAAAATCTAAGTTGAAAAGTGCCGAAATTCCCAGAAAAATAATGGAATCGGAATTTCCTGGTAATATGCACATCTACACAATGTGTCCTAAATATCTGCAAAGTTTGACCAAATTCTGTGCAGCAGTTTAAGAGGAGTTACGCTGACAAACTGTTCATCTCTATATTCAAGATATGGCCAAAAATCTAAGTTGAAAAGTGCCGAAATTCCAAGAAAAAATAAAGGAATCGGAATTTCCTGGTAATATGCACATCTACACATTGTGTCCTAAATATCTGCAAACTTTGACCAAATTCTGTGCAGCGGTTTAAGAGGAGTTGCGCTGACAAACTGCTCATCTCTATATTCAAGATATGGCCAAAAATCTAAGTTGAAAAGTGCCGAAATTCCAAGAAAAAATAAAGGAATCGGAATTTCCTGGTAATATGCACATCTACACATTGTGTCCTAAATATCTGCAAAGTTTGACGAAATTCTGTGCAGCGGTTTATGAGGAGTTGCGCTGACAAAAAAACAGGACTGACGGACTGACTGACTGACTGACACACTGACTGACTGACACACTGACTGACTGACGGACGGGTCAAAAACATTATACCTCACGCAACTTGTTGCGTGGGGTATAAAAATATGACATTTCCGAGGCATGTGTATTGTATTTAGATGTACCATACGATAAATAGATACATACCATCAACAATAGATATAAATTAATATCGTTGTCATTCCTACTCTTGATTTATATAAAGTCCACAACAATAAAATATTTCATTTGCATTTTCTTAGGAACTGTTCATTGACATTCAACATATTGTTTACATGTTTATGTTACGTTTGTCCCAGAAATCCTGAGATTTGTACATTTTCCGACTTTTTCACAAAAGAGCGCACTAAGAAGTATAACTCTTCCATAGTGGAAATAGAACGTATTGATTACAAGTGTTACATGCAATGGGTTCATACTTTTAGGTTTGTAGAGTTATGTGGACGCAGTTTCAAAACACCCCTTGGACTTAACTCCAAAGCTAGGAACATAAGATAGAAGGTCAGACAAAAAGTGCCTAAAGTCTAATAGGATACCTCTCAAGTTACAATTTTACTGAGGGGTGAGGAAGGGGGCTGAGGGGAGAGTGAAGCAGTTCCTACCCTTGTGAAGGCTGCTACAGCTTGTTCACACATCCCCACAGTGGTAAACATCTCAGCTATTTCCTACAAAGATATCATAAAACCATGAAAATCCTGACGAACAAAACTTAGTACTTGATGTAAAATTGAATGTTAATAACCTACAGGCAGTAACTTGTGGTTCTCTGGCAGGGCCTGCACCATTTTCTCCAGTCCGCCATAATCTTCCAGTGTATAATAACACTCTGCCAGCCGCTCCTGGTTTCTGCCCTGGACGTAGTAGGTCACTGCCTGCTGCCTGTCATCAAGTAAATACAATCAGGGAATTTAATCAGTTATTTATTTATGATTAATTTTCACCCAAGATGCATGTAGATCCATATGATTTGAATGATAATGCATTTTAAAAAATGATAATATAAATATGTGTATGGCAAATATTAAAATATCAGGAATCATCATCATTTTTTTTCTTGGGAACTCATGCACAGAAAAGACTAGTTAATTACACACTGTACATGTACCATTTACATGTACATGCACAATGCATATGTATGAAATAAAGGTATATCTTATTATTCTCTAGAAGTCTCCAAGGAGTTGAATCAAACACATCTTTCTTTACTTGTTCTAATGAAAACAAACCATTTTTGTCGGTCAGCATAATAATCGCCGATGGCGTTCCAGGCTTCCTCTAGCTGTACATCATCTCCTCCAGATCCCGTCTTCAGTAACTGTACCACTCGGAACCAGTCTCCCAACTTCTTCCTTAAACTCACAGCCAGGTCCCTGTAATAATTCAATGACACACTTACTTCTAGCACCAGTCTATGTTAACTATCAATAGATAGATATACAGTTATGAATTCTGCAGTGAAGATCTACTACACATCACGAAAATGTTGGTTTTATTGTGCAAGTTATTGGAAATGACACATTACCTCTATAATTCTTAATATTTTTAAGACTGATATGAAATATTTTACCATCATGCACACAATGAAGACATAATAAATATTCAGTATGTCTATAAAGCCTGAGTACCTTCTGTCCATATCTAAATACTTCCTCTCAGCTTCCTCAAATCTTCTGAAATAAGCACATACTTCTGCTTTCTTCATGTTTTCATTCTGAAAAAAATTGACTCACAATGTATAAAATCAATATACATATAATTACAAAATTCACTTTTCAAATTTTAAATGAATGACAACTACAACAATCATAAAACTTGTACTCTCTGGAAACCCCTTAAAATGGGGACAAAGTTTAATGCCTAAAATCAATATAAATACTAGATCAAAGTACCTGTAAATTTCCAAGCCTTTTGACAAATTCAATTCCTTGGTAATCCTTGCATCTGACAAATGCTTGTTCAGCGACCTTAAGATTCAGTTGTTCTAGAGCAGACTCAGCAAGCAGTCGCCTGTTGTAAAAATATTATCTAGAGTGTATGTTTGTCACAATTCAAATTCAAAGAGACAAATACAATTCTTTTCTAATCATTGTAAACAGCTATTCCTGGAGAATTACTGAATTGTAATATACATCAACACTGACATTATAAGAATTAAATTGATACATACATGTATGTACATGTACATACAGATGAGGACTAAAACTTGGGATATGGATGTAAATGAAAAAAAAAAAACATGAAGCTGATTATTGTACATAATTACCAGAGTCTGGGGTGAGGATTGTCTTCTATGAACTGCTGAGCATCATTGATACCAACCTTCTCCAGTAAATCTCTGGTATCTCTCAAAGACTAAAAACAATCATAACCTCACCATTAATATATAACTGTACACTTCAGCTTAACAGAGACAGCTGATAGGCATGTCATTAATCTAAAACTCACCTTAATTTCCATTTCAGCCATGTTGTCTTTTGTAGGATTTTCAGGGTCCTTCATTATTTCATCCAGCAACACTGACTTAATCTGCAGGTCATTGAACTGGCAAATATATCCACTGCTTAAGATAGGCTCCTGTAATATTAATAAACTTGTTTCACTGCTTTTTAAAAAGAAGAATGTGATTCTAAACCACCTTTAGAGTTTGCAGAGCTCTTTTTTTTTCTTTTATTTGCAAATCAAGTTTTTAAACTGTGCATATAAACATGGTTGCTGAAAAAACAAAACGTTTTAAATTAAACACCTGAGTGGTAAACTAGTATTATTTCATTCTCTTTTTTAACACTCACACCCTTTATAAACTCCTTAGTGTGCAAATTATTAATCCATAAAATACAGGTTTGATAACAACAAAAATGTGTTAATCACAATAAAAACACAACATGCAATAAAAATTTTCCAGTATACAGAAATGTAAGAAGAAATAGCACTGATTGAATTTTTCAAAACACGTGTGAATCTATTTAACATTCAGTACATATTATGTTAAAGTGTATCACACAGAAAAAATGTGCTTCTTGTATAATATATTTAACACACTGTTATACATCCTGTGAAAATTCAGACAAGGTCACTACATGTAATACTTGTCATTTCTAGCAAATAATCATCATGCATCATTTTACCAAAGAATATGTCTATAAAATGATTTGATAAAACAAATACGGGTAAAAAAAAAAATTAATGAAGGAGCAATCATTACATAGATAAAATCTGATGATTTTGTTTCTAAATGATTCCCATACACCCTATGCAGTAATATACTACACACTCCTGGAGAAGAACTTCAGAAAAAGAAACAGGTTTTGTGAAAGATAAAGAAAGGCTAGAACACTTTTCTGATAAGGTATCTATATCCTAATGGTGTCAGTATCCTCACCTTGGATGCCTACATAGGATTTAAATAGTGGTAAAAATGGATTTGGTACATTGATATTCAAAGAGATTTTTAAAAACTGGATTTGCAACAATTGCCAATATATGGTGTAAACCACACATAACTACTTCAAATTCTATCAATGACAATATTGTTTTGTAAAGAATTAATTAGCAAAACCATGTCTCTTCAAAACAATGATTCTGACAATCATACACAGTAATGACGAAAGCCTTACAAAAGGACATTATTGACAGAGCATACATCACTGCTGTGGATACCACATAGTAAAAGAATATTTTCATTACATGGACTATAAATGATTCAGTGAACATTGTTTAAATATGAAAGATTAGTAAGAGACATTACCTCTGGGTCTAGGTTCCTAAATATGTACATCCTTGTTTTTTCTGTCATTGCAAACAACTCTGGGTTATCCTGTAATTATAGATACTGATAATTATATACATGTATACCCTTTATTTTCAATTGGATTGAAATGTCACACTTTCACTGCTTTAAAGTGTCACGTGACTGCCAACTATATTTCTATGTTCGGCAGGTGAGAATTAATATCTAGCAATACAGCCGACATGTGGCATTTACATTTTGATACGATGTTAGAAATCATTTATTACTTTCCATTCCTTTTGAAATTAGAGTAGTGGCCCTTTTAAGAAATGACACGAGATTGTTGTGTCTGCATCACAAGTGATAACAGCATCTGATTTGCTCAGGAAAAACGTTTCAAATTAGAATCTAAACAGAAACAAATTATTAAAAATAAACAAAGGTGCCTAAAACATTTTTCAAGATAACTTGACGGTAAAAAGTGAGACTGATTGTGTGAAATTAGATGAGACGTCAAGATGTAGGGACACTTAAGGGGATGAAGGACACATGGTCACATGACTCTGTTTAACTACGTCATAGTCTCCGTTTATATAAGTGCAAAACGTATAAAGCATCAATTCTTGTATAATTTTTTGACAATTTTCTAACTTTAATTACAAACTTATAGAAAAAAAATAAAAAAGTTTTAACATTCTTGTAAACATTAACAAATCATGAAAAAGATTGATCCACTCCTCTGTTTCCCTAAACTGCGCGTCCAACAAGTCGGTGACGTCATACACGATCTGTTAGTACAGCAAGATCATACTCGGTGAACACAGGGGTGGTATTATGATGTAAAAACAGGTCATAATCAGAATATGATGAAATATTTTGAGAAACGGGGAACACAAAAATTATTTTTGCATCGCTGATGACGGAAATCATATGTAGGTATATCTTATTTCGCTTATTTGGCTTACGTGTGACGTCATAGTTGGTTTTTCCCGTACTCTAGAAATGTAACATGGCACGTTTTTGTCATGCTTATGTCCTCTTTAACGATGTCCTGTGAAATAATAAGGTCAGCTTCATCATTCGAAATTTTTACAGTTAATCAATAATTTGAAGGATTTGCATTTCAACGTAAATTAAAAAATATTGAATGATAGAATTTTTTGTAAATTACGTTTGTTATTGTTTTAGTTGTCTTAAAAAGTGCGTAATTTTCCCTATCCAGATGCAGTGTGATAGACAAAACTTGCTTTTTCGAATTTTAAATCATAGTTATACTCTGAAATATTTAAAAAGATACATGTCCACTTTGATATTTTTTATATATGCTTAAAAAATCCCATTATGGACAGAGTAATGAGCCCGAAACATTGAGAATTAAAACTCCACTTGGATACGGTAGGACATAGTATTTGTCAATCAATATCTCCAAAATAAGGTAAGAAACCTAATGATATAACTGCTTTAAGATATGTGGGACATACTTAATTAGAAATATACAAAATATGAAAAAATTGAATGACAAGTATTTTTTCAGCTCAAGGTCCTTCTCCTCCTTAAATTTTGAATTAAAATACATGTATGTTGTATTCATTCATTTTGATCATCACTTCTTGCAGGTCCCTTGTTCTGCAAGATTGGGAGGGGAAGGGGGGCTTCCACTGTTTTAAGAATAGTGTTTTGCTATAGACTTTACTGAATATCATTCAAAGGCCATCCCCCACTCTTTTTGATGCAGTGGGGTGAAAAAAGTGCCATGTTACAGTAACTGCATTAAAAATACTTCCAAAAATCTACAGGAAGATCCTACATGTACCCCTCCCGAGTTTTTGCTGTTATTTTTTTTTTTGCTTGTCATTTTTTTGTGATATAATCTGATAAACTCTACTATGAGCCTTTGTGTTTATGTGACTGTCTCTCATACTATGATCCCCGAGAAAATATATCATTTATTAGGTTTGTAACTAATAATCAGCCTCGCTGTCTACAAGATTGGTCAACCCGATGTATTTCTATAGACAGTCAGGAACAAACCTAATAAGTATTAACAAACTGTACATACAGGTACCTGTACATAGGAATCAAAGCTAAATACATATATACTGAGGGCTATTATATAGGGAATACAGGCGATGTGTCTTCTGCCCCTTTTTTGTATAATATGAACAAGACTGAATATGCTAAAACCTTCTGAACTTTATATAGGGAATACAGGTGATGTGTCTTCTGCCCGTTTTTTGTATAATATGAACAAGACTGAATATGCTAAACCTTCTGAACTTAGTGATGAAAACAAAAATTGCTCCCGGGGTAGAATAATATGCTAAAAAGTAAAATTTCAATCAAAACATTAATTGAAATGCAGTTACAGTAGATTCCTTGTTTTCTATGAGTACCCTAAAAATATTGTGACATCAAACAGCGAGAAAATGAATTGGAGAGCAGACTGTTGATCAAGTTTTACATATATTTCAGCAAAAAATAATAAAAGTGAGTAATTTCATATCTGAAAGATGCTCCTTGTGACTCTAAGTAATTTCATCATTTCTGGTTGTTTAATTGGTTTGACTATCTTCCCAGATACAGAGTATCAAATGCAGACTTTGTTGAATTGATTATCATTTAATTTATAGTTTTACCTCAGCCCATCTCATATCCCAGACATCTTTTCTCTCAAACTTCAGCTGTTCTCCAACAATCTCTTTGCCGTCTTGGTCAGTGATTCTTGTGTCAAGGTCAAAGAAGGTCAGAACTCCACTAATATCAATAATGGCCAACCGACTGAAAATGTAGCAGCATTTCTTAAAATACCCTATCTTCAATAGTGATATATCTAGTCAAACTTGTTATCTCAAACTCCATGGGGCCTGGAAAAACTCTGAGATATCCAAGGATTTGAGATATTGAGATTTAAATACATAAAGAAAAGTGGCTGGAACTTCCAAAGCACTTCAACGTATCTATGGTATATGAGATATGGATGTTTGAGATACCGCAGTTCAACTGTATAATAAAAAATTTGATTCAATTATTGAAGAGAAGGACATTATAAAAATTCACAATAAATAAAAATCGTAAATTTTTCAGTAAATCAGTGCAACTTTAATACTGTAAACCAACTTTTATTTGCGTGCGAGAAATATACACGAACTTCAAATTGCGAATATTTATCACCGCGAAACTTTTTTTTGCTTTGTTTTTGTAGAGAATGTTTTTTCAGTTGCGAAAATTAATCGTCACAGATTGATTTCAAACTGACAAATTGCGAATAAAAGATGACGCGAATAATAGTTGGTTTACAGTAATTTATCCTCTCTTAAGTGATAAAAAATAGGGACTATTCAATAAAATTCATTTCAAAGGATAGCCATTGAGATAGTTATGATACAAACCTTGATGTACAGTTGAGGGACAGCTGGTGTGGCCGGCACCCAATGGCATACTTATGTGTCAGGGACAACATAGGCATGGAGTATCTGTTGATGGTGCCTGATTCTCTCCCCTACATTGTACAAAAACAAAAAAACTGTTTTAATATCAATAATTAACACACTACTAAATAAAACTGAATCTTTATTGAAAAGACATTTGAAATTATTTATTCCTAAAACAGCTTCTTACCACAATCAAAACTTTGTCTGAAGCACAGATGGCACAAACAGGATCCTCGGTACCCTATAAATAGTATACAGCTTTGTGGAATATGATGACAATTTTCAGATAGCTTTTAGCTAGATAATGACTCTAGAAAAGTCATACTGAGTATTATTCTAGTAAAATGATTTTTTTTTTTTTTTTTTTACATGGAATGTATTTATCTTCTGACCTTAAGAACAACTTCAAAATTACATGCAACATAAAATTCAGTTCTGCATTCTGATTATTATACCACTCAAAAAACTAAATATGTTGGAGATTTTCATGCAAAACCCAATCAATTTGTTTAGATGATACGTAATCAATTGTGTGCACCATTATTATATTCCTTTCAACCAGACGCATAGATTTAGTTAGAATGTGTATTCCCATGCGAGTCATGCACATACACTTATACAATAAATACAATGTGCTGTGACATTGACCTTGATTCAAGGTCTTCTCATCAAGGTCATATTGTAATAATCCTAGTTCATTTGAGAATGCATAAAAAAAATCTCAAGTTTTGCTTTATAAACACACTTTATCAAAATCACCAGATGCACATGAAACTTTGGGCACTCTTGACACCGGAGAGTTTTTCAAATATTAGGGATTTTTTTAAATAAAAGAAAATAATAAAATAAAACTCATAAGACACAAAGTGAATTAAAAAAATCCAAATAAAGTCTAAATAGAAAAATTACTACATACAACAGTATGAACATGATATCAATATACTAAATGAAGATAAGGAAAGAAAAATTCTTATCCAATTACCTTTTTTGGCTACAATATCAAAAAATAAAAGTCCTGTATGTTATTTCATATCAGCTTGCATTAACTTCAGCCAATCTACTAGCCCAGATCTTTTTATCTCACTTTTTTTACTCTAATTGTAAGCACATTTACTGTAAAACAGAGCTAAAGTGAATCACCAGGGTCAGTCAGAATTGCTGAGTGATACTGTAAATCAATATTCCTTCCTGTGTGACAATTATTACTTTCACATGGAAGGGGAAACCAGAATGTCTGTCACTGTCAATATTTACATGTGTATAGTTTTTTTTTTTTTTTTTTTTAGATTTTTAGTGAACTCATAGCCTTATCAACTCATTACTACATGTACATGTATTTCAACTCAAACCCAAAACATAAAGTCATAACCAACAGATGAAAGTCTAGTCATAATAGTGAGTTGATGCTTGGTTTTAGAGGGCAGAATTCAAGTCGTGTTGTATCTGAGGCAAATTTTATATCATAACCTGGAATCTAGCTATGACTAAATTTTTTAAGTGGAGCCTTGGAGAATACTTTCTGGTTTTAAATACCTATACTAGTACTAATTCCTTAAACCAAAAGAAGTTTGAAAAATTTGTAGAGTCATATTCTCGAGATAAATTTATTCTCGAGATAAATTTGATATCTTTAATGTACATGTAATTGTAAATTATAGTCCATCTGTTCATATTTATTAATTATTCCTTTTTTTGTCTAATTATACAATACAAATGAGGGCCATTGTACATAAATTTATTAGATTTTGATTCAGTCTGCCTTTCTAGCTGGAGGATTTTGTTTTGGTATAAATTAAGGGTTTAATGAAGCAGTCACCTCATCAGCTTGATTGAAGCTATGCCAATGATGCATCTACAACAGTGACTTATTTTCTGAAATATTTACTTTTGATATATATTTTTTCTTATGAAGTGTATTGAAAGGCTTCTGCATTTAAGATACCACAACACAGACAGGGAGGTCAAACGGTTAAAGGAATGATTTTTATTATGAAGTCACATACATGGTATGCAATACAAGTGCAACGACATCAGCAAACAAGCAAAATTAATGCTCATGTTGGATAGCAACAGCTTTTCTTTTAATTATAGGGATTATTATTTAAACAGCCTTAATTTATTCAAAGACGCAATACTTTGTCTATTTACCATGAAATCCATACTGAATCATTGAACTGAAATAATTTTTGAAGTTTGTCATTTTATAACAGGATAGTTAGTGCAGAAAAAATTTCATAGGGCACCAACACACCTTATACAATTTGTCATAAAAGCCATCTGTGTTAAGACAGGATTAACTTTATAAATTTACAGCTTAATGCTAAGTAATAGACTGTATCAATTTTCTACTGTTTGACAAAACAAATCCAATTCATGTACATGTAGTATCAGTATTGAAATCTTTTGTCCCCATTGTAAACTGTGCAAATAATTGATCTAAGAGTCTAAATGATGACCAGAATGTTACGATACTAGACAATTGATGCAGTGAGATAAAAAGACCAACCAAATACATTTCAGTAAATATACACATAAGTAATGTAACAAAAATAGCAACACAGCAGCGTAGTAACAAGCTAGACATTAATAAGAAATGGCCATTCTGCCTGTACCTTGTTCCTCAGGTGAAACCTCTGTCAAGAAGGAGGGACTTAGATTAACGCTCTGTCTTACGGGTAAAATGTACTACATTTCTGGTGGAAAGGTGCAGTATACACTGCATGTACTTGCTGTATAAGAATTCTAACAGTACATTCTTTGCAGAATTTTAACATCTTTTATAACATGTACTACATGGTAGCTTAATTACCCACAGTAGTAATGATAAGAAGTTCAAGTAAAGAAATACTAAAAAGCTGAGTAGAGAGTCTCAATATCTTGCAAATTCCATAAAAATAATACATAGTTGTAAATAAAAACAAACAAAATGATTCAGACTATAGTAGAAAGTGAATAGCACCATAAATTATTTATTACTTATACAAAGTCTCTATTTCTTTAATTGAAGAATTTATATGCTGTAGTATACAAGCAAAGACTGACTGAAATCAATGATGACTAATACTTACATTGAAAGCTTTACTGAAGTCCACCTCCTCTGTGGCTGTCGCTCCAGTGGGCTGGTCATCAATGTGATACAGTCTGTGAAAGTTACATACAAATACAGTATAAGATGGTTTCACTATTGACACGTAAGTAAGGAATCATGCTTAAATGACCCTTTAAGGTAGCCATGTTGTGGACTATATTAACACAAGAGGCCCATGGTCCACAACGCTCACCTGAATAACAATGAACCCTTCTGTTCTTTATCAGCAGATTTTTTCCCAATATATTCCTATGTAAAATTTAGATAGGTGTTACAGATTTTCCCCCAACCATAAACAACCCATAGATTGGATCACCCTAATTTATGCCCTAAATATTAAATCTATAAGTCGTAATTTTATTTGTAGATATCATGGTTGGATCACCAACTATTTTATATTATCAATGTATTCTTTATATTTCATCTTATATGTTTATTTCATGAATATCGTCTGTATGTATTGTACAAACCCGAATTTCCTCCATATATCAGCCATCTCGTAATAACAAATGGCCACCTGGCTATGTTATTCGACTGACATACCCAAAATCAACTTGGCATCGTCTCCAAAACAATTTCCAAACAACAATTCATCCCTTTTCCCGCCTTTGTAATGTTAAAGCCTTTACTTGGTGCAAAAGTTTAACTATACAAACATCGCGCGAATACTAGCGGTACCGCTTGTTATTCGCGCGTGAAGTAATTCGCACCGTTATACGAAAGGTATATAAAGGCGACGTTTTGAACGTCCTCTTCAGTTTGGGATGTTGGTCAGTCATATTAACACCTTGACTGAACTGCTCCAATATTCCCAACTCATTTACACCCATAATTATGGGTAAGAATCTGATGCCACCCATATGTTTTCATTGGGTAAATTGATCCATGGGTGACCCAACCAACTGATTATTGTTATTTATACGTCCTGACCCATTACCCATAATTGTTTCTTGATTGTATTTATTAATCATAATTATTGTTTTAATAAATTCATTTTTAAAGTTAAACAAATCTCTTTAATTAATTAAGGTAAATCTCAGAAATAAGAGACCCACAAACAATATTTGTAACGTAACCCATCAAGCGGGTAAAAGAATATTCAAAAACAACAGCTATACCCGAAAACGTTACACAGGGGTCATGATTTGAACAAACTTGAATCTAACTACCCCCAGAAAGCTTTCACAAAAGTTTTACCTTTTCAGAAGATTTTTAAATTACCCCACCCAATTTTCATCGTTTCTCAATTACCTCCCCTTGGAAGAGGCGGTGGCCCTTCATTTGAAAAAAAAACTTGAATCTCTTTACCCAAGGATACTCTGTGCCAAGTTTGGTTGAAATTGGCCCAGTGGTTCTGGAGAAGATGAAAATTTACAACGATGATGAGACAACTTTTGATCAGAAAAGCTCACTTGAGCCTTCAGCTCAGGTGAGCTAAAATTGAGGTTCCGCCAGTGTTAAGATATATGTATATAAATCTTATTATGTTATCAGTAAGGTGCTTCTCTGTCACTGATTTACCTCTCTGTTCCTGTACGACGGCGTCCCGGCATATCCAGGGTGGCGAGTTTCTTAGGATTCTTAAACTGCCAGGTGTAAAGAGCCTCTTTGGAAGCACACATGATGTGTGTCTTTGTCATGGTTAGATATACTGGGTCAATTTCTACATACTTGGAATCCAGTGGTGTTCCAATAGAATTGCAAAGTACCAAGACAAACTGCAATGGTAGAATTTGATATACATGTAGAACACCTCACATATAAAAGCACATGCATGCAGTGACAAAATATTCATCATCATAAATTTATTACCATATACATCTACCCTACAAAATTATGTAATATGTACACATGCTTTTATTATATCTGGGTTTTTTTTATTAATAATACTGTTTAATAATTAATGTGTCTCAAGTGAAATTGTCCCTTGAAAGAAATATACAAACATACTATGATTAATCAAACCGTTACACAACAGAAACACCTTCCTATTATGTACCTGTCCAGTAGTCTCATCTGCTTTGGTTGCCAGGCAACAGTAATCGCCACATGCTGTTATGGCAATGAGATTCCTTACATACTTAACATATTTCTGTGATAAAAAAAGAAACAGTTTCATTTGAATATCCAAATATACAATGTATATGTACATGGAACCTACTTAACATTAACATATCACTTCGTATTAAGTACTAAATGTGTATCTTTTCAAAATGGTTGAAACACTGAGTACACATGTACATGTAGATTGTACCTCTCCATTCTTGGTGTCCCAGAAAATCACACAATGTTCCACCCTCTCTGGTTTTGTAAAGGAGTACACCACTGTGTTGGAACAGAAACCCCACTACAAAATGAAAATTATAGTACATGTATATAAAACTTGATTTCTTTCAAAAGTCAAGATATTTTTATTGACACCAAGTTTGAAGTAATCTCCCAAAATCAGCACATTAATTAAAATATGAATTACTGAGAATCTTTATTAGTCTGAGATAAATATTAAAAAAAAAAAAAAAAAAAAAACTTTCCCTATCAATTGATACACTGGAATTCCTTGAAGAAAAAATTAGCTTATATGAATTAAAAAATAGATAAAAGAAGATGTATTAAAACTGGAATGTAAAAATCATAATGCAAGTACTAACCAGTTAATTATAATTTGTTTCAACCAAATGCATGAAAGTAGCACATCAAAAATGACAAAGAAAGGATTTGTTATGTGTTCTATCATTTCAAATTTTCTGCTTTAAAAGCGTTCATACTTAGACACACACCTTGTAATCAGGCCTAATGTTAGCAAAGTAGATGAAACTGTCTACAGCCAGTGCAATTCTCAGACTGCCACCCTCCCAAGAACAGCTATACATTTGTTTTCCAGGCACTTTCAAAGTCCTCAGATGCTAAAAATACAATGTGGTACATTAAAACCAGTGGCATAGTTATGTGTCAGCTATATAAAGCTTCTTCAGCAAAGTGTTAAATATTTCAACAGTAAATTCTTCCTTACCTCTCCAAAAGGATTGTAAAACTGGACAACATTGACCTCTTTTTCTTGACCCAGAGCTCTCTGTGACCCAGCCACTGCCAAAACTGACCCGCAGTGGTTCCACTGAATCTGAGCCACCATCATCCCAGTGTCAATCAAAATGGGATCTGTTCAGCAGACACATTTCTTTTAATTTCATTGCTTTTTCAGTGAAAGGATGGAAAATTTATATTTTTCTCATAGTGTCAAATTTCTAAGTTGTTTCTTTACATGTAAAAACAAGATGTGAGCACAGCTGAAATGGGTTCTCCTAATTTCTGTGACCTAAACCTAGTCCAAATTTCCAGATCAAATACAACCTTCTAATATTTGTCCATTACAAAGTTATAGACAGAAGAAGAATTTTACATTTCCAATCTCTGTGACCTTGACTTTGTCCAAATGACTTTTGGTAAGGATCTTGATCACCTTTTTATCTTAAGCTATACTGATGTATCCATACTGTTTATTTCTATAACAATTCATTAACAACAATCCTTGCTCAACCCCTTAAAAAGCCTTCAAACTAGGGATATCAAGAAATATTCCTTTGAAGATTTGATAATCAAATATTAATGAATGATTCTAATATTTGATTTCTTAGAATACACAAAAATGATATAACTATGATGAATTTAATTCGAACAGTGCCGGGATTGTCCTTCTCATTTAATAGTGGTCAGCCGATCCTTCTGCATATAGATCTAAAATATTTCATTTTGAGTTGTATCAGAAGAATAAATCAACTATCCCTGAAATCAAATGTTTGTGGTATTTTAAGAGGGAAAGTACTGGATATTCAGTGATGTGTGAACACTCAGTGTAGTATTTAGACAGATTTTCTGAGATTTTGAATTTTGTGGTACCTGGGTACAAATTTCCAACTTGTAATGCGGGCAGATCTAAAATGGGGACAACAAAAAGCATTCCTTGTTAGACAAAAGATGTGAAGATTTTGAATTCCTTAGCTGAAAATCTACACCCAGTTTTACTTCCAAATACATGTAACAGTGCAAAACAAGCTTTGAGGGTAGGACAATGGGCATAATGGATGATGATTTTATGAATAAATTCGAATACTCTTACTGAATATTCAAATATGAATTATTGACAAATATAACATTCCTACTTCAAACATATTTGGTTTTCTGTTTCAGCAATAAATATAATAAAATAGTATTGTTGTATAGAAATAACATGCTATATCTACTGAGATACTTACTTTCATCAATTTCATTCTTCATGATTTGACAGCGACCAGATTCAAAACAGATAGCCAGAGATGGACAGTTGGGTTCAAGGTAGCCATTAAGGCCATTGTACCAGGCGATACCAGCGATATGAATGGCCCCACTGACACCAGATAGGCAGTAAATATTCAACTTGGACTAAAAATTCAAAAAATGCAAAATCTCAGACATGTTATATACTACTGTGATACATAGACTAGTCTCAGGAAAATAGTCCAGAAGCTGTTACAGGTGCATATAATTCAACTTAAATAATACAGTATAAACTTACAATGAAATTCCCCATGTTGTCATATATGTGAACCTCACCATTGGTCATTCCAAACAAGAGGACTTTTCCATCAGGAGACCACTATTAAGAGAAAAATATTATTTTGACATGAAACAAGAGACACATTCTCTAAACAGTTTTAGTTTTTAAAATATTTTACACGGGTCAGTATTTTTCAGTATTTCTCACTTGAGTAATAATAAAGTCAATGCTTTTTTTTATGAAATATGAGCTAAAGCAATGAGATTTTGGAAACTTACCACAACATGAGCCAGCTGTTGACCCCTTAATTCTTTCCCCCATATCCTGTTTCCATCCACTGAGCCCACAATAACACAGCCTGTAGATCAAAGTTCTATAATTAGTCATCACATACTTCTCTTAGCAGTCTTAATTTAAGCAGCAATAAACTATCCCATTATTAAGCTTTTCATTGTAATTCAACATCATAAAACATGACAAGTTGAAGTATCTAGAAAAAATATATATTCCAGGGTTTCAGATTGAAATAAGTAACTGTAGAACACCTGGCATATTTACCAGAAAAATAATAGACCATTTTGTCCTAAATCTCCTAAAATTATAGGCCAACTAATTTAAGATAATATGAAGTCAGGTGAATGCAAACAAAGTAATAATTAAAAATAAGATACTGAACAATGGATTGTGAATCATGCATTTTATTTTGGACAAAAATTAAATGTGGTTTTCGTTTTCCAAATTTCCAAAGAATCTTCAAATTCAAAGTTGCCAGATGTTTCTCCGGGATTCTCATTAACTGATCTAGCCAGTTAAACACTGTCATTCTATGGGTTTATGCTAGGCAATTTACTCTGAAATTTTTGAGTCTCTCTCCATTTGATTTTCTCTGTTTTTTCCCAGATTCTTCAGTTTCACTGGTGTCATTCTTTTGATCTCTTGTCCCTAAACTGAAGAGTTTGCTGCCCAAAACATGTTGTAAATAATATATTCAATGAGGAATATATTCTTTGGTGGCATTTGCTTGTCTGCTACTCCATGTTGATACTGGTAGGAAAAGCATATCAGGAACAATTAATCAAATAAATCAATCTGGGGATCAAGATCTAATATATGATTGTCATTGGCTGATGAAATCTACAGTTGTGGAAAGTAGTAAAATTAATTTGATGGAAAAAAAAAATGACAAGCCACTTCATACAGAATTTAATTCGTAATTATGTCTGCTTAGTGCTAAACATACAGGCTATTTTGGCTGTTTAATTTTAATTTCTTTAGCCATTTTATTGGCAAATGGCTGGCAGCAATCTGAAACCCTGTATTCTGGAGTCAGAGAAGTTTAACAACCCACCATCTTCATACACAATGCAGATTTTCTGTCCATCTGCATTCCAGCCCATACTTCGTACGACAGACTTGTTCCTATTGTTAATCATTTCTTCGTACCAAGAACCTGAAAACAAAACCTGAATGTATGTCTCTTCTTTTCACATTTCAACTAAAATCTACTTGCTGATATTATTTTCATCAGTTAGAAAAATTGACTTTTTAAATTTTACCTTTGTATAACATCCACACAATGATGAGTCCATACTGGTCACTAGTGGTCAGTTTCTGATAATGCTCATTCCAAGTTACAACCTGCACCGCTCCTGTAGTATTCAAAATTTACAAACATAGGTAAATATGTTTATTTCACCTTTGGCAAATTCTGTCATTAATGAAGGTGTAAATGTATTGATTTTCAAATTGAATTCCCTTAGGTATATACAGTATATCACTTACCACTGTGGCCCTCAAGGGTCTGATTCATAGATAAGTTACTGGGAGCTGCCAGTCCTTTCACCTTCACATCTTTCCCTGAAATTTCAAGCATAACATTTTAGTTCCAAATACAGTAAAACATGCTTATAGCGAAGTGACAGGGATGAGCAATTTTGTTTCGTTATAAATGTAATTTGATTTATCTTATATCTGTGAAGATTACAATATGATGTAAAACCCTGGAGATTGAAATTCACTTCACTTTAAGCATGAATTCGCTATAAGCGTGTTCACTATAATTGCATTTTACTGTACACAATTAAATCTAATTCTATATATATAAATAAAAAAAAAAAAACAATTAAAATTTATTTTCTGGGACTTAATTTTTAACAATAAAATGTCTCAATTGCCTTAAAACTGTGTTTTTCTTAAAATAATATAAAATTCAATCATCTGAACTAAATGGGTATCAGATAAATGGATATAGATAAATGGGTACTATATAAATGAGAGTAATACCTGTCTGAGTTTCCAGTCTGAGTACCTTCAGAAGTCCCTCCTCTCCTCCACAGGCTATATACCCCTGCTCTTTATTCCAGGATACATATCTAAGTTTTGTATTGTTTGGAATGGCAATCTTTAAAGAAACATTGGTGTATGTTAATTTCAAATAAAAAAAATAACATTAATATCTTTGCAAAAATTAACTGATCCAAAATTAAGGAATGCACCTTGATTAACCAATTTCATTAGAATTATTTAGAAATGCTTGTAATTATTGTTCCACTCTCACTGAAAGCTGCACTGTCTAATGTATCATTATATTTATAGTTATAAGTCACAGATATTAAATATATATAAGTTAGAAGACATGTTAACAAAACATTGTTGAGTCAATTTACACAAGAACGGTTTATGAGCATAGAAAATTCATCTAAATGTTTAAATTATAGGATTTTTAAGAACAGTTTTGGGCGAGAAATGTACCTAAGTAAACTTACAAAAGATTTGAGAATTATATTAACAAAATTTAGAATTTGTAACCACAGACTTCCAGTCGAAGCTGGTAGATGGACTAATACTGACATATCTTTAAGAATATGTAATTTATGTAATAAAAGCACTCTAGGTGAAGAATTCCGTTATGTAATGGAGTGCACATTTTTTTCCTAATTACGTATGAAACTTATTGATAAGAAATATTTTTCTAATGTAAATACTTATAAATGTGAGGGATATAGCATACAGATAGTAGATTACACGTTCTTTGTTAAAATCTTTGCACTTTTTAAACTTTGTTTATGGAAATGCAGCTAACATACGACGTCATGTGACGTCACAGTCTATACATTCCAAATGTCTCGTGTGGTTTGAAGAGGAAAATCTTAATGAAAGAAGTGAACAATGCGCTCGCCCGAACGGTCGCACCGTCAACATGTTATAATTTTTTATATATATATACTACTCTTCCGTACTTGACCTGATATTCTGTATATATGGTAAATGTGTAAATGTACTTCATGGGCCATTGTATGGTTTGATAGTAATAAACAAACAAAAAAAAAGAGTGTAAATATTCAAACATGAAATAAGTATTTATTATCAGTGATATTGAGCATGTTTAGCTTCATTGGCAACAAATTTCTGAAAATAATTCTGCTTTTAGATTCAAATTCTGTAACTAAAAACATCCTTGGAAAAAGCATAAATACCTTTTTACTCAAGTAAACAAACATTTTTTAGTTGTTTTCTTCTGGAACACTAAATATTTTGATATCTTATGTGTGACAACTGCTTTCAACAACTCTTCGACGCCATTGCGTTGGAATGCGAGATTTCGACGATATGTATGTCGAGATTTGCGTTGAATCATGGGTAAATGTTCTTTCCGACAACGTGCTCTTGGGGTGAGGAGTGTTGGATTCTAGCTCTAAAATATATTTGTCATTTTTTGTTATTCTTATAAAATAATGAAGACATGATAAGCATTATATGTGTATTTATATATCAATGAGGCACACTGTGTACGTTAGGAAATATGAAATGCAAATTTGGACCATCAAAGCTTAGATTAAAAAAAAGGGGGGGGGGGTGCTAATTAGTTATGAATCTGTTAATAAATATTATTCATTGAGTCGGTATCAACGTGCATTATGATAAAATTTTAGAATGAGGTATGATTTCAACTTTTATAATTACATGTAATTTTTATTTTATAGGTGTAGCTTACTGAATAGTGAACACTATGGCACCACAGAAGAAAACAGTAAGTCATTATCAAGTACATCAAAATTAAAAAAAAGAAAAATAGAAAGAAAAGGAAGTTTGTCTTTTTTTGGGTAGAATTTACTTTACCGGTCCCCAGATCCGCAAGATCCGCGCGCTCATTGCACTATGACGTAAGATTTACGTCACTCAACTGATTAGGGTTGGTTTTGCACATTTTTCGACTGGTTAGGGTTAGTCTTGCACCCACCTGAAAGATTAGGGTTAGTCCTTGCATAAGTTTTCGACTGATTAGGGTTAGTCTCGCATATATCCGAGAGATTAGGGTTAGTCCTCGCACATGGGTTAGTCAAGCATGGTCTAGCATCCGCCTGGGAGATTTGGGTTAGTCCTCGCATACCATCCGAGAGATTAGGGTTAGTGTCTTGTTCTTTTAGATTAATTAAGAAATTCAGTTGCATCTGTATTTTTTGCAAGATCTTAATTCAGCTTCAACGACATCTCGTTGGTTTGTTTACATGAAAAAAAATGGCTAAGTACGAAAGAAACGGCACTAAGCATGCGCCGCACGCGCTTCGTTCACAATTATTTTTTTGTCTCCTTTTCACTGAATAAACAACATTTATTACTTTTTTTCAGAAAACGAGGTTAAAAACTTCGTTTATAAATGAAGTTTTAAACTAAACTTTTAACTGTAGAATTCGAATGTTGGGTCAAAAAGGCTTAAAACCTCATATTTTTTAATTTTTTTATCGCTCACGCGATCTCATATATATTGAAGTCGCCTACGGCGACACTATATTTTAGCGCGTTTTTCTGGTGACCGGTAAAGTAAAGTCATTCCCTTTTTTTAAAACTGGAAAACAGCTTGTTACTGCAATAAAGTTTTATATGTGATGCATCACTATTATAAGCAATAGTAATAAAATGTTCAAATTGTAAATGCTTTTGGATAATATTTTTTAAAGATATTTCAGTATTTTGGATATAATGGTAATGTTTTGAAAATGTTTGTATTGTTAAATTTTAATTTGTTTATTTTATAGAAAAAGAGCATTGAAAACATTAACTCAAGGCTTGCCTTGGTGATGAAATCGGGGAAATATGTTCTAGGATACAGACAAACCCTGAAAACCTTAAGACTTGGCAAAGCCAAAGTGGTCATAATTGCCAACAACACTCCTCCTCTCAGGTATGAAGCAAAGAAAAGGCTTCATAATTTCAAATTTTATGTTACAGTATATTTTCAAATGTTTTCTTGGCTTCGGAGTCTTTAAAAGGTGAAGATGAAGTCAAAAGGTTTTAAGTTCTCCTGCTAAAAATGCAGGATAGAGCTTTTCTGATCCTGGGTTTGTCCGTCTTTTTCATGTTATTATATAAATATATAGTACAGTGCGGACTCGTTATTACGATGTTCATTTTGTCACGGTAAAATATCGTAATACCGAGGGCAACGTAATAAAAGTTCCCAATAAAATCCAGTAAAACATCGTTTTGAAAGCTTTTTGTTGTACTAGGGGGTGTATTTTTCTCCTTTTGTTTCCTTCTTCTGTTCAAATTCTTCATTAAAACCCTATATACATATAATTTATTAATAACTTATCTTGAATAGATACCTTCATGATGCTATTTCTTCTATTTCCTTCATTTTAAAAGAAATGTGCACATTTTCTGTAAAAACTTCGGCAATCTTCATTTATCTGCCGCCATTTCCTTTTACTTTCGTTTCTGTCTAGATAATGCGTTCATAAAATTTTCAATGTTTTCGTATCGTTACTACATAAATAACAACAATACATCACTGGGCGGTTTGGGGTGTTCAATGAGCTTAGAGCTGCAGTGAACAACTGATGAAAGTGGGCAGTGTGATAGGCATATTCCTGGACAGGATTTGAGAACACACAAGCTAAATGTCAAAATAAATTTGAATTTTTAAATTACTGAACAGAGTTCAATTAGCAGTTCAGCAGTTATCGATTTGTATTTCTGCTGACATCTGTGAGGTAGTCCAAGCCACTATCCAAGCTGTTAAAACGTTAGTGGAGTTCGAATTTTGCCAAAATTATGTTTGATACCCAAGCTGTCAATTCCCACTGTTTAACTGCAACCGAAATTACACATTACGTATTTAACATACATGCATATGATTAAATGTAACCCTTTATTTAATAAATAAACTTTACTTATTATCCATAGTAAAAAAAAAAAAATAATAATAAACTTTACAGAGATAGATAAACTAGAGACTACATTTATAAATAAACAGCTTAATTGTTTAACAATGGCTTTGACACGTCTCCAATTCTGCTGACCTCGCTAGAACAGTCAAGGTGTGTGCAGTCAAGCGTCACTAATCACCTAACGGCCCTGCAAGTTAACACTGTCAGAGCACAGGTGTTTCAATGTTTATTTAGCGTCTCCTTAAGTGTCTACAGTCGATCAACACTGAATAAACACGGGGGTGAGAAAAAAATTTGGACAGAATTTTTACATCGTAATACCGAGTCCCGGCATTTTAGGACATCGTAATAAACAGTTCTATTTTGTATAGATTTGTTAAGAAATGGTTTTGTGCTTTGAATTTACAACGTAATAAGCGTTCTATCTTATAAAACCATCACCGTAATAACGAGTCTGCACTGTATTGCAATTGTTTATTTGAAGAACGGCATTCAATACAAATTTTCATTTGGCATTCAGATATTAAAAGACTTAAAAGATGGAAATAATGATTACATTGATATGGGGAATAATATATATATGTAAAAATCAATTCATTTATAGTCACTGAATTCCTATATTTACAATTCACTGTCATCTTACATTTCATGTGTCCTTGCAAAAAATGTGACCTCACAATGATACAGTGCGGACTCGTTATTACGGTGACGGTTTTATAAGATAGAACGCTTATTATGATGTAAATTCTTAACAAATCTATACAAAATAGAACTTGTTTATTAGGATGTCCTAAAATGCCTGGACTCGGTATTATTATGTTAAAATTCTGTCCAGAATTTTTTTCACCCCGTGTTTATTCAGTGTTTATCGACTGTAGACAATTAAGGAGACGCTAAATAAACATTGAAACACCTGTGCTCTGACAGAGTGTTAACTTGCAGGGCCGTTAAGTGATTAGTGACGCTTGACTGCACACACCTTGACTGTTCTAGCGAGGTCAGCAGAATTGGAGACGTGTCAAAGCCATTGTTAAACAATTAAACTGTTTATTTATAAATGTAGTCTCTAGTTTATCTATCTCTGTAAAGTTTATTTTATTATTTTTTTTACTATGGTTAATAAGTAAAATTAATTTGTTAAATAAAGGGTTACATTTAATCGTATGCTTGTATGTTAAATACGTAATGTGCGATTTCGTTTGCAATTAAACAGCGGGAATTGACAGCTTGGGTATCAAACATAATTTTGGCAAAATTTGAACACCAGTAACGTTTTAACAGCTTTGATAGTGGCTTGGACTACCTCACAGGTGTCAACAGAAATGCAGATCGATAATTGCTGAACTGCTAATTGAACTCTGTTCAGTAATTTAAAAATTCAAATTTATTTTGACATTTAGCTTGTGTGTTCTCAAATCCTGTTCAGGAATATGCCTATCACACTGCCCACTTTCATCAGTTGTTCACTGCAGCTCTAAGCTCATTGAACACCCAAAACCGCCCAGTGATGTATTGTTGTTATGTAGTAACGATACGAAGACATTGAAAATTTTACGAACGCATTATTTAGACAGAAACGAAAGTAAAAGTAAAAGGAAATGGCGGCAGATAAATGAAGATTGCCGAAGTTTTTATTAAAAAAATGTGCACATTTCTTTTAAAATGAAGGAAATAGAAGAAATAGCATCATGAAGGTATCTATTCAAGATAAGTTATTAATAAATTATATGTATATAGCATTTTAATGAAGAATTTGAACAGAAGAAGGAAACAAAACCAGAAAAATACACCTCCTAATACAACAACAAGCTTTCAAAATGATGTTTTACTGGATTTTATTGGGAACTTTTATTACGTTGCCCTCGGTATTACGATATTTTACCGTGACAAAATGAACATCGTAATAACGAGTCCGCACTGTAATACATTATTGTGATATCTTTTGGAGAAAAAAAAGATATTAAGAAAAAAACTTTTAAAAATCAAGGAGTAAAACTGTGTAAATTAACAGGAAAAGTTAAGTAATTATTGACTTGTACAATGTCATCAAAGGAGATTTGCATACAGATGGAAAAAATTGCACATTTATTTGTGAACATCACTTGTAATTACAGTTATGAAGCATGCAGAGCATCATTTCATCATTCAGGGTTTGAGTAGGAAACATTTTTGACTCCATAAAACAGAGCATTTGTTCTTTACCCAAGTCTGAACTTTTCAGGTGAACAGTGTGAACCACAGGAAATGTTTCATTTTACATGTCTGTTTGTGAACCTGAAAAGGGGCAAGAATCTCTAGCTTGTTTGAATTTCAGGGTTGACTAAAACAGGTAACTTTAAAGTGCATGTGTATGATTTGATGAGTTTACATGAGACAAAGACTAAGATAATGTTAATTTTAGGTGTAATTTTCTAGTGAAGAATTCAAACATGCCATCAATGATTGCTTTTAGTGATAAACATAAGCAGATAATGTATGTGATCTTACAGGAAAAGTGAGATTGAGTACTATGCCATGTTGGCCAAGACTGGTGTCCACCATTACACAGGGAACAACATTGAGTTGGGAACAGCCTGTGGAAAATATTTCCGAGTCTGCACAATGAGCATTACTGATCCAGGTAATATCGCACTATCTGCTATAAAAAATTTGCTTCTTATGATTTTTCACTGTGTTTGGAGGAATAACTGTGTAATTTTATTTGTTTTACCAGCAATTCTTATTTCTCACTGGAAAAAAAGTTGCACATTCTCATGCCACAATTCTATGTACAAGAAACCTGGTTTTAGATGATGTTATTTTTATCTTTCAGGTGATTCTGACATCATCAGAAGCATGCCATCACAAGAAGGAGGCCAGTAATGTCATTCAGCTAAAATAAATTCAGTTTTAGTTGATTTTTAATTTGTTTTTCTTTTTAAACTCTGCTTACAAATTTGCAGAGTGTTGTTTTTCCCATTGGTCCTGGTGGATGGGGGTGTGGGCTCAGGCACTTGTTTCTGTAATTTTTTTTTACCCCATAGTAGAAAGCAAAATTTAAATATCAGTGGGTTTAAAATTTCAGTACCAATGTTTGAATGTTGCAGTTAATAAATATAAGGCTTTACTTAAAATACAGTAAAAGTGTCTAATGTGGACACCAATGGTTCCATAGAAATTGACAGGATTAGACAAAATTCCGGTCTTTTAGCCAATTCAAAATCCATCTACCGTACTCTATTCTACCAGAGAAGTGTACATGGCACTTTGTGTTGTAAAACCAGTTTTCCGGTTGGTGAACAGAGTTTGGATGCTGTTTATGGAGATGACGTAAACACATGCATGCCGTATAAGGTTTTGTAGATAAATTATCGTAGATGAAAATGGTAATTAATGGCTTGCCATGTGTTGTCTTGAAAGTGTAGCTGACTGCGATTCTGGCAGTGGGGGTACTCCATGTAATTTGGATTCTGGCAATGGGGGTACTCCATTTAATTTGGAGTTGGATACCTTGTGTTATTATTATACTATGGAGAAAAAAAAATATTACAAAACAAATGCATGTGAGTGTACATTGCACTTCTGTAACATAACTTGGAATAAGTGGCTCTATTGAATCTTACCTCCAAAGCAGGTAGAAATAGTGTGAAAAAGAAATTTTTTTGTGGGGTGGGGTAGGGGGTTTAAAGTTCTAAGGAGGTCATGGTATGAGGGGCATTTCCTGATGGTATCTGGACTTTGAATTTATCTAAATTTTAGGTTATTGTTTAGGTCAAAGGATGAACACATTTGATTTTCAAGGCAATAATCCAAAGGTCAAGGTCATTGCAGATTGAAAATGAGTGAATTATAAAGTGTAAATATGATTAATTAATTATACCCCTGCTCCGAAGGAGAGTGGGATATACTGTATATATGTATATACTATATATATGTGTGTGTATGTCTGTCTTAACAAATTTTCGTCACAGTTTTCTCAGGAACTACTCGTTGCAGATTCTTGAAATTTTAGCACACTCTTTGTTTAGGCATGGCATTTGCCATATGGTTGAATTCATTTTTGTACGAATCCAATGTCAACTTCCTGTATTTCTGTAACTGAACTTGAGTATATTCAGATGAGAGCCTATATTCACATTAGAGCAGGGGTATTACTTGTGAGCATCGGCTCACAGACTTCTTGTTTTCACATGGTATAAAATTAATACAAAAATTGAAAGTAAAAACTTAAGGTCATTTCAATTTTGAGCAATTCTATTTTCAAATGATAATGAGAAATTAAAGTTTGTTCATATGTAAAGCCACACCTCTTCCAAGAGAAGATTGAAAGGGCAAAAAATATAAAATGATTTTATAAAGCTGAACATGATTCATGTAAGGCAAGAGTTCTGTGTACTCTGCATCTTCATTACCTGTGCGGCCCCTATGTAAACAGTTGATAGTGTTATCAGTTTTCACCGGTGTGGACAGAAGTTTTCTTTATAGACATTTTAAAACACTCGGTAACAACAAAAGTAACTATTAGCCTCTTCAACGGCAGAAGAGAGCGGTACCAAAAAAATTAACATCAGTTGTATAGGTCAGTGCATTACAAAGAAATACAAATACACGTAAACTGTAGTAAAATGTAAACAAAGATAATATAAGATAAACAACATGAACACATATCATCAATTCCACGCAGTACCAGTGACAAAAAAGCAGTCAGGTGTAATAAATTCAAATTAAGGATATACCCCAGTGCTGATATAGGAGATAGGAAAACTAATATAGCATATGCCTATTTATGATTCATGTTCAGCTTTAAAAAATGGAAACATTTGGATGGGTCATTTCAAAATCTCATGAACCACTAAGCCAGAAAAGAAAGAAAAAAACTTGTAAAAGATTAGTTTCCCCCTTCAAATCATTGCCCTCAATGCTACCGTGGAGCGCTACAGAAGGGAGGGAGTTGGGATGGTAAATATTTAGCATGGAATTGTAAGGGAATATCTGCTGCTGAAGGAGAACAAGGCCATGGTTACTTATCGATCATTATATTCTCCCTCACTTCGTCCGAATATAAATCAATGAAGTGCTAAATTAATAAAACACAACACATATTAAGTAGGAGCGCTGCTCGATAGTGCTTTTATTCCATTATATACTGCTAACACATAACCATAACACATTAACTAATACAACTGTATAGCCCAAATTCATTGCACTCCATTGGATTTGCATCACTATCAGCCATATCTTTAAATCCTAGCGAGCGAGCTTAGAGTGCCATGCTACCGCATGGCCTTAATATTTATACCCTATATATAACCACATGACTTTCAAAGAAACTTTCCGAACACGCTACATAATACCATACCGCACATAATTTTAAATACCAAGCAACAATTAATGTAGCTACAGAATGATCCGGTGTCTTCATCAGTTCTGAGTGGACGCCCAACCTCCTAATCTGCAGTCACATGATCATCCCAGGGTAGTGCAGATTTAATTTTTTACAAATCTTGGCCCTGAGGATAGGTTGAGATTTCAATACGGGATATAATATATATCTACATGAAATTTATGGGGGGGGGGGGGGGGGATAAATTAAAAATTTTCTTTGACAGTCAACAAGGTGACATATATACAATGTATATTGTCATATTAGTGTGATCACCCCAGTGTAGTATAAATCCGCATTTGTTCAAGTAATGGCCCCTGAGACAATGGTGAGGCTTGAAACAGGGATTCCAATATTTATATTGGAATAAACAGCTTGTTCTGCAAGTCAAAATCCTGGGGGGCAATTGTAAAGTATAGGGAAAATCTATATGTCTACAGTATAGTAGTAATTAATGGATCTGGTAGTCCATTTAATATGCATATATAGTGCAGTTTGTTGAAGTCATTGCCCTATTGATAGGGCCACAGTAGGTGCATTCATTAGTTTAGTAGGGGCACCTGAGAGTCGTTCCTTTGTCGTTTACCTAATAGGTTATGAGGGTCATGACTTCCATCTTGTATGTGTACAACATATATAGGGCTGCTTGCACAGTGCATATTTAGTTTGACTGTTTGTAACCTTTCTGTTCTGTAAAAGATATTTTTAAGATACAGTAAAACATGCATTTAGCGAACAGCTTATAATGAATTGACGCTTATATCGAAGTGATTTCATTCTCCTTATAAGTTTAAATTTTAAAATATATTGAATACTCAAGGTATATAACTAAAAATGCTTATAATGAAGCAAATTTTTCCGTCCCTGGCACTACGTTATAAGTGAGTTTTATTGTATTAATTTGTGTTCTATCAACTCTAGTTTGACTTAATATTGTTGCTTTATCCCAACTTAGACCTTGAGGTCATGCTTTTGACAACCTGAATCCATTTCACAACATGTGCAGTAGATGCTTGCTCATTACTCTGAATAAACTTTGGCCAGTCATCCTGGAGATTTTTTCAAACCTATTTAAAAAAAAAATTCCACTCTAGTCCCAGTGGTCACGATTTGAACATTGAATCTATAATATATGAAAATTCTTAAAACATTCTACCACCCTTATTCTTGAGATTGTTAAGGTCTCAACCTGTACATTCCTATTAATTCAAATCTGTCAACTCTTTTTCAGAGCCCCACTCTAGCCATGATTTGAAATCTTGAATATACTCTAGGTTGGTTATTTACAACATCCACTGAAAACTGAGACAAAGTGTTTTTATGACCCTCCTCCCTTCAATATTTTCCTATTCCCCCAAATTTATTCCCACGTAGAAGAGAAATAATACCCTCTATTGTAGCCCAATCCTGAACCCAGAGGCTTTGATTTGAACAAAATTTAATGTACAAAACTTAAAAAAAAGCTTGCACTTTAGTTTGACTGGGGTCCTGCTATTCAGTTATTTAGTTAGTTTCTTTTCTTTTAATATTGACATGTTGCTGTATACTATCAATTTTGAATTTCTTCACTGTAACTGTAAATGCTGATCACTGCCTATGACTTGTCTTTTAATCTGGTCACATGTGAAGGTTCCTTAACCTTCATCAGCATCATTCTTTAACAGCACTGCAGCCTGAAACTTCATACTCCACAAACAAAAGAGAAATGATATCGATAAACAAATTTATTCATCACAATTCAAAACCTTTAAGAACAATAAAATGAAGTTCTTTAGATCTTCTTTAGCTGATGGTGACCAAAATCATTACAACAAAGTCTACAATTATCCTCGGACAATCTCAGTATTTGATATTGAACCACAGACAGACATTTAGGAGCTGACTGGTGGGCGGAGATCAATATCAGGTCTGGCTGGATCTGGGTACATTCCCCTTTTTTTGAAGTCAATTGTTGGACTGTAAAACTGTAATACAAAATAAAGCATCTGTTCAGTATATGACACCTTTCCTTCGTTTTCACCCTTAATTAATACTGTCATACAATTTACAGAAATGAGTTGTTTCCCTTTCTTCTGGTAATAGCAGCTAGACTTTCAATACATTTCAATTTGAGGTTTCCTGTGTATAAAGGTATTTGGAATCCAGTTACTGGGAAATGTTAAACACATAGAGGGAAATTCTACAGACAAATATGCAGTTTCTGTAATAAAGGACAGTACCATTGTTGGACATGTGCTGAGAAAAAAGACAGTAGCGTTCTTTCTGCTGAAACGTTACAATGTACCATTACAGGAAACTTGACAATCTGATAATTCAGCGATTTTGGGAGAACTAAAATTGTCATTTGTTATAAATTACATGTATTTTAAACCAGAAAAGGCTGAAAAACAGAAAAAACTTTTTAAGGGGTAATAAAAGGGAGTGCTTATTCTCCAACTGGGGTGGGTCGGGGTGCTTAAAGGGCAGGGGTGCTTACTGCTTAGTAGGGATAATTTGGTATTCATAACAAGTATGGAGACTAGTCAACTTCAGTGA